ACAGGGTCCAGAGCAGGAGGCCATGTGGGTGACAGAGGTGGGCTGTGGCCTCGAGGGCCCTCCTGGGGCTTGAGAAAAGGACCCTGGCTGGGTGACCTCACCGTTAAGGTGGCACCAAATCTCATCACCTGCATGGGCGGGGCAGGCAGGTGTGCCAAGGGGACTTCAGCCGCTGGCCTAAGTGGTGGGCAGACAAGCCGTGCAAGGCCTTCCCGCTCCTGCTGCCTCGATGTGAGGGTGCAGTCACCACTCCCTCAGCCCGGGGCCCCAGGGAGCATCTTGATGGGCACTGTCTTCCCGGATGGCCTTGGAGGTGTCTCCCAGATGCTGGGTCCAGGATGCACAGGCCTTTCCACGTGGGGCCCTCGCAGTCCCAGTGACCGTCTCCAAGCCCTCCTGATGGGACCCTCAGCAGGACCAGGCCTCCTCCCACCTATGGGGTCACAGGACAGGGTAAGCAGAGGCGTGGCTGACGTACCCTCGGCAGTGCCCTTCTGTGTCCACCTGTGGCCGCACAGCTCGCCTGGGGTGTCTCACACATTTCACGTCCCAAACAGCCTCACTCCCACCGCACACCACCTCCCATGGGGCTGCTGGGCGGCACTGGGTTTCCCATTCACCTCACCCGAGCACGGATGTGACCCCAGCAGCAGCTCGGCCCCTGCCTCTCTCCTCCGCCATGCCTCACCAGCCTGCCACCCTCGGTTTCCCAGCAGCTGCCTGATGCAGTGGCTGGCTACTGCTATGTAACAGATTTCCCAGAGTCCAGGGACTGTAAGCAGCACACACGCAGTCGGGCCGGCGGGCTGCTGTCACCCTGGGCTGGCTCCAGGACAGAGCCACCTACAGAGCCTTAGCAGGATCGGTCCTGAAGCCAGGGAGCCATGGGCTGAGGCCCGGTTTCTTGCTGGCTGTGGGCAGGAGGCTGACTCAGTTCATGGCCTCACAGCCTCTCACCTGGGATTCCTCTGAGAGGGCGGAAGACTGTCATCTGGCCACTGCACAGTGTTGACAGCCTGGTCGTGAGCATGGTGGCACCTGCCCCGTGCAAGTCCTTCTGGTCGGAAGTGAGGCCCGAGGTGCAGGACCTGAGGGCACAAGAGCGGATGCTGCCCCATTTTTCTGACTGGGCGTGGTCTCTTTCCCATCTCCCCTCCCCGACCCTCAGGGCAGCCCCTTCTTCCCCCAACCAGGTGACAGCTGGCCACACCACTGCCACCCTGCCAGCTCCCTTGGCCTGTGCCTGTGCCTGTGTTCCCTCCCACTGCCCATTCTTCCTGCCCGGGCGCTGGCACTCAGATCCTTCCCTGGCCAGTGGGGGCTGGGTTTGTGGGATCTTCATGTCTGTGCTCTCTCTCCTTGCTGGCCAAGGCAGAATGTCCCACCCTCTGGACGGTTCCCTAACTTGGGGGATCTTGAAGGCTACAGTGGAGGCCCCAAGGGCAAGGTGGTAGCAGTCCTCAGAGCTGTGTGGTCAGGCCCTGCTGGGCACTGCCCACTCTAGCCGGCCAGAGGCCTGCAGGCCCCTTCCCTCCTGCTGCTGGAGAGCAGGTGGGTGTCCCACAGGGCAGCCCCCCACAGTGGGGTGGGAGTGTTATCCCTGCTTTCTCCTCCCACTGTGAGCACCGGTGCAGAACACAGTGACCGTCAGGACTTGGAGCGTGGGTGTGGTGTGTCTTTGGGGGCCTCGGATCCTTCTGAGGACCCCCATTTCCCTAGCAGGAACCGAGGAAGGCTGGGCCTGGGTCCAGACATGAGTCTGACCAGGGCCACCTGGTTCGGGGGAGGATGGGGCCCGGGATGCTGCCTGCGTGGCTGGAGAGCAGGAAATGGGCCACCCAGGCCAGAAGGGCAGCTTCCAGGAGGGTAGAAAAGGCCTTGGTGTGGCCAGATTGTACAGAAACTGGCGGTGCTCAGGACACCAGACACCGCAGAGGCTGCTCTCCCGGGGCCCCGGCACAGGGCTCAGCTTGGAAAGCACTGGAGTTCGGGGCTTCTCCCCTTTAAATTCAGTGACAGCATGGTGCTGAAGCGTCTCAGTCGTGGGCTGCAGTGCACAGAGGCCTCCAGCCTCGAGGGGACCCCAGGGAGCTGACAGTGGCCCCAAGCAGGGCCCGTCTCCCACCCGCCCACTGGGGAGTCGCCCAGCAGAGCTCCCCACTCCCAAGCTCAGCAAGGCTCCAACAGCAGATGCTTGAGCAGCTCTCGGGGTTGGCTGGGAGTCTATGCTCTGCCCATTGCTCAGTCCCAGGCTCACCCTCTTAAGCAAGGAGCAGCTGGGCCGGGGATCTGTGGCAGAGTTGCCATCCAGCTCACAGAGGTGGAGACTACCCAGGGTAGTCTGGGGTAGATGGGGAGAAGAGGCTGTTCACGCTGGTGGACCCGGCCTGTGCTGCCCCCTAGTGGCCATTGTGGTCCCCACACTCATAGTGGGGCACCCAAAGACAGAATGAAGCTGATCCCCAGCCTGGAGCCCGCAGCCAGGATGAGGTGCAGGAAACCAGGTGCATTTGGGGAGCACGAGGTCGGCCTGCCAGGCGCCGTCTGATCAGGAGTACAGTAGTGCCAAACTGAAAACCCCGCAGGCTCCCCAGAGCTGCTTCGTCCTTCAGGGACTGAGGGACGGATCTGGCAGGGGCCTTGAAATGGAGAAGAATGAGACGGTTCTTGGCACATGCCGTCCTGGGTGAGGCGCCAGTCACACGACTTTAAGAAAGCCACAGCCCCAGGCACCTCCTGCCAGCAGTTCGGGGACAGAGCATTGGCTTTGCTTTGATCTTCCAAGAATCATTTCCCGAGCTCCTGCCAGTGCCAAGACCAGACTCTCCTGGGGAAGCAGACAGGGTCCCCAGCCCAAGGGTCCCATGGGGCTCAGGGGACACCTAGGAGAGACAGACTGTACTCAAGGCCCAGGCTGGGAGCCTGGCTCGGGGCAGACCCAGAGGCTGGGGACAGTGAGGAGGAGGAGGCTCCAGGCAGTGCCAGGGGCAGGTGCCCTGACACAGAGATGGGAAGGAGGCGAGAACCAGAGTGGCTGAGGACACAGAAATGTGCTGTGGAGAAGCAGGCACCGTGGCCTCCCCACGAGCTGGGTGTCAGGACAAGGAGGCCATGGGGCTGCAGGGAGAGCCGGCTCCTGAGGAGGGCGGGGACCCCCTGGGCGCCTGGGGCAGACGGTGTGGGGGAGAGTCCATGTGGGGTACTGAGGGGAGGCAGGCCTCCAGGACCCCAATGCTTAAGGGGTGGCAGGCTTGCTTCCTGGATGTGGGGCCTGAGCCACAAAGGCTTTGGCTACATGAAAATTAAAAAAAATTTTTTTGGTACCAAGAATCAAACTCAAGCAGGTACTTTTCAGGACTGTATCCCCAGCCCTGAAAATTAAAATCTTACCTGAGCAACCATTTTGATGATAACAATATGTAATATAACAACCATTATTAAATTTCTATCACCTTATTTTGAAACCCTGAATCACTTTTTGTTATTGTTGTTGTCATGGTTTGGCTTTTTTGTTTGTTTGCTTGATTGCTTTCTAACTTTCTGTGCTTTTTTTCTTTAAAATAAAAAGAAAAAATCAAATTCTTTGGGAACAAAATGGACCAAACTCCAGGGAAGCAGGGCCTGGGTAAGGTTGAGACCAGAGACGCTGTTTTCCAGACGTGCTCAGAGCGCTCAGGAACCCCCAGGCCATGGCCAGGGGGCTCTCGGAGAAGCCAGGGCTGCTGTGTGTGCCGCTGATGCTGCGGGAGCAAATGCCAGGGGCATCCCTGGGGCCGGTGGGCAGGAAGGGGGCGTCTGAGGCCCTACCGGTGGCTCATGGGGCAGAGTGCCTACGCCCCGACTCTGTTCTTACACAAAAGCTAACCCTGAGAGGGCAGGGCTTCCCTGTGCCCAGGAGCCTCAGCCCCTCTGCTGGGCCATGTCTGACAACAGATCTGGAGGGGCTCTGACAGTCAGGTCTGGGCGCACGATTCAGTCCAGTCCACCACCCAGACTCCCTGCTGACTAGGGCAATGTAAACTGGAAAATCAGTGAGTTTCTTTCTATGCATATTTCACATCTATCTGTTTCCTTCCATTTCTGTGGGCTCAGGTCAGCCAAAGGCAGCGTGTAGCCGGCGGTGACGGGAGTTGCAGGAAAGGTGCTCAACTTGGTCCTGAGTATTTGTTGCAGCCCCGCAGGACCCAGGACACCCCTGACACTGCTGTGCACAAGCTCAAGTCCTCAGTGCCCGAGGGACGCTTCTGACTCAAACCAGACCCGGTGCGGAGGAAGCCAGTGACCACCTCCGGGAACAAGCAACAAGAGTGCTTTCCACCGGACAGCCGGTGCCCGCCCGGCCAGGGGGCTGCACTGCCGGCCTCTGCGCTGCGCTGCTGCTCGGGCCCCTCCCCTGCCCTGCTGTTTTGGTTCCCGCCTGAGTCCCAGCTCGAAGGCCTCTTTCCCTGGAAGCCTTCCCGACGGCCGGTGTCCGGGCTCCTGCTTCCACCTTGAAAGACTTTCTGTTGAGCTCTGCATGCCCGACTCTGCTGGGGTTGACCCCGAGTGAGCGTGACTCCCTGCCCCGTGACTCTCCCCACCCCCAGAGGCTGACGCCTGCTCACAGACGTCCAGGCCGGGCTCCCTTGTGTCATCTCCCGTGTGCATGTGCTCCTGCACCCGCGTGCCCACGCTCAGACACGCATGCACACACTCGCCCTCCTCCATCCACAGTGGTTGGAGCACTGTGTGCCAAAGTGCAGAGGCCGCCCAGGTCAATCACACAAGATGGGAGGCGGAGGGCGGAGTCACAGGGAGACCAGTCACTGCCAGGCCAGGGCGCAGGAGCCCTGCGCTCTGATGCAGCACTCGAGTCATGAGACAGCAGGGACGTCCCACTGGGAAAAGCCGCGGGCCATGTCAGCCCAGGGTTCAGCCTGCTGCCACAAAACCCTGTAGAAGACAGGCAAAGCCGCCAGATGTTGCAAACTCACAAAAATAGAACACACTGCACAAAAGTGTGAGCTTTAAATATTAAAATATATTTACACATGGATAAACGTGACCGATGACACTGTCCCAGGACTGGCCAGCACCTGCCAGGTAGGAGTCACAGCACTGGCTCACTTTCCTGACACACAGGGCACCATCAGGTATAAACACACTCTCTCTTTCTCCCTCTCTCTCTTTCTCCCTCTCTCTCTCTCTCTCTCTCTCTCTCTCTCCTTCTCTCTCTCAGTACTGGGGATTCAGAAGCGCCATGGGACACCGGGGCCAGGCAGGCAGCAGGACAGGACAGGCCCTCAGAGATGCGGGCCGGGAGGGACATGTGCATTTCATATCTGCCTGGTGGTTGCTCCATAGTGTTTCAAGCCTCTGATCCCCACAATGCATGGCTCAGCTGTGACCTTGGGGTGGCTCCCCAGGCCCCAGAATCCAGTGCACGGTCTCCCCAGGTCCTCAGTGCTGGGGCCTCGTCGAGCGGTCAGCCCTTCCAAGAGCCGCGATACTGCCATGGCACTGTGGCTCCTGTCAGCCTGGGAGTCCACCAGCTGGCGGGATCAGACATCGCTCTGGAGCTGGCTGTCTGCGGGGTTTTCAGAGGCCGACGACTGGCTGGGCAGAGAAGCTTCCAGGTCGTCCGAGGACCCAGGCGGAGACTTGTACAGTACGCAGGCCACGGCGAAGAACAGGAAGCCCAGCACCTGGGAATGTGGGCGGAGCCTGCTGAGCCCACCCGTCCGGAGCCCCGCCTCCCCAGCTGTCACCTGGAACCCAAGCTGATCTGCAGCAAGACACATGGTCCCCACAGAACCTGGACCTGGGACTTTATGTGGGAAGAAACCAGCGCCTGTCTGCAGGCAGAGGCAGTGTGTGGGGGGTCACTGGTTGAGCGCATCTCCCCCAAAAGATGTGGGCAAGGCCTAACCCCGGGAACCTGGAAGCCACGTGGAGGTAGGGCTTCTGTAGGCATAATTAGCTCAATATCTCCACCTCAAGCAGAGGTTGTCCTGGGTTTAAGGCGCCCCAAATCCAAGGACTACAGTCCTTGTAAGAGAAAGGGAGGAGACCCACTGGGGCAAGGGGGACTGTGAGAATGCAGCAGAGCAACCTGGGGCACAGGGACCTCACTGGGTGTGAGAGACCCTGCAGCTGTGGCGTGCAGGCCTGGGCAGCACAGCCGCACCCTGGCCTCTGTGTGCACACCAAAGGTACCACCCGGGGCTACGGACTGAGGCTGAGCCATGGGGCCATTGCAGCACAGGCTCAGAGGCCAGGGCCGGGACAGAGGGGCCTGGCCTGTCTGTGCCTGCCCCTAAGCCAACACACACACAAGGGCTGTGGGGCCGCCCAGCATCCAGCTCAGGAAAGAGAACCAAGAGGCAGCTCCTGGGAAGAGGTTTTTTTAAACACCACCCCTGTCTAGAACCACGATAATCCCTTGCCTAGTTTTAAACTAATCCCAGGGGAGTAAACCCTGGGCTCTGAAGTGGTGGCTGATCCACTTTGACAACAGCCTGAGGCCACAAGCTGCCAGTCTGGAACTCAGATCCTAGGATCCACCCGCTGGATTTTACTTCCTGTAGGTTTTATGCACTTTGTCCTCTGGGGGGCTATAACCCCCCTGCTTCTCCCCAGGCACCCCGAGCCAGGAGTCACAACAGCACCCTTCTCCGGAGAAATTGCACACCTCAGGCGGAGGCAGTGTGTGCACCCCTGCCCAGGAGACCCGCCCCACAGGGAGCAGGCCCGGACCCCTCCTGTCAGAGTCTCAGAGCCTCCCTCAAACCACTGGGGTGGGCAGTCCCACAGCCAGAGGAGGAGGCTGCTGTGATCCTGGGCCTGGGTAGCCAGCCAGGGTGCTGTGGGGGTTCAGCCCAGGCAGAGGCCCATAGCTGCCCTGAAAGTGGATGCACCCTCAGAGTCCCAGCCCCTAGCTACTCTGGTCCCCGAGCCACAGGAACGGCTGCAATGCTGAGGTCCATCTCGTGTACCGTCCAGGAACCCGGAGCACCAAGCTTGCTGGACAAGAGCCTGGCCTCTGCTCCCCGCCCTGCAGGCTGCCCTACCTTGTACAAGAGCCCCACGATCAGCATGTAGCGACTCATGGCTGAATTCTGGTACACAAAGCAGGAGCCCGGCTGGCTGCACTGGTCTTGCCACAGCAGGCAGGCCTTGTCAATCACCCAGCCAAAGGCGATGGGTCCCGGGACGCTGCCTGCAGGGAGAAGGCTCATCAGCACCCTAAGGGGGTAAGGGTGGCAGGGAGCCCTCAGCTAAGTGACACTGGCCATCAGGACTCACAGCGGGTGCAAAGGGCCTGAAGTGTTGGCTCCCCCAGGCTCTTGGCGTCAGAGCTGGGAGAGGCCCAGGTCTCTTTGGTTTAGGAGAGCAGGAACCCCTCGGGACACACAGGGACAACTCGCCCCCTAGTGGAGAGTTTGGGAATGGCGCCCTTCCAGAGCGGTAGAGCCCCCAGCTTAGGGAGAAGGTATCTCCCATGCCCTTGCACAGCCAATGCACTGCACAGCTCCCCAGGCATCCTCACACCGCACAGTACCTAGGGTCCTAACAAAGATCCACTGGATTCCTAGGGCGAAGGACCTCTGCTGGTCACAGACACACCTGCACGGGAAAGCGGCAGCGTTAGAGGACCGGCCGCACTGGGTCACGCACCCACACCAGCAACACTACACCACCACCTCCCCCAGTGGCAAACATCATGCCAGAGGCCCGAGACTGTAGTGCCTCCTGCCACCAGACAGATAGACTCCAGCGGGAGCAATCCACACACCCCCAGAGTCCACGGGCGCCACCTGCTGGTGCTGCAAGAGAAGGCGCGGGCGGGAGCAGAGCAGCCAGGCTTACCGTAGAGTGGCCGTCAGCGCAGGAATGCTGCTGAGGAATGTAAAGATAATTACAGCGAACAGGAGAACCAGAAGGAGGGGCTTTCTCTGACAAGTTGAAGTGCATTTCCCTGCAGTGGCATTGCCCAAACTCGTGGGGACACAGCTACAGTCTTGGTACACCTGAGGAGCCTAACAACAGCGCTGATCACGGAGGGAAGGCCCGGGCCCTGCCCGGTCCCGGGGCTGTGCCAGAGCCAGGGCAGTGGCCACACTCACCTTCTGGCCAGCCAGGCACCCCGCGTGGCAGGGGGAGTAGTACATGGTGCCTTCCGAGTCGCACACGGGGCTGTAGTGCTCCAGGGAACAGTGACAGTGAGCATTGCAGGTGGCCGTCAGGTTCAGGTGGCCTTCGGGCTGGAGGCTGGGGACACGAGTGGCGGTGGGAGAGCGGCCAGAGCCAGGGGCACCAGGACAGCCTCAGGCCTTCCCCCTCCCGGGCCAGCATCAGGGTCTGTGAACTTGCTATGCGGGGCACGCTCAGCCCCACCTGATCCCACTCCTGACCCTGTCCCTCTCCACCCGCTGCCCACACAGGCTCCCTACTTGCTTGATTTGGTTTTCCTTTCTTTGTTTCTTCTTTTTTTAGATAGGAACTAATTCACATGGCCCAAAAAGCATGCAGGAAAGAGCACTGGGTAGTATGACACCCCAAGGACCCAGCCCCGTCCCCAGCTGCGTGCCGCAGGGAATGGGCCAGCTCATCAGCCATCTCAGGTCCCTCCTCCTCCTCTGGCCACAGGAAGTAGCCTGCGCCCCACGCTCTGCTGCTCCCTCTCTCCCACCCCACAGCACGTGTGACGGGAAGGCGAGTGAGCTGGCCAGGCACCTACCCTTCACGACAGCTTGCTCGGGTCTGACTCTCCCTGGCTGCCACCAGTGGGTCAGATCCTCAGTTCCAGCCCCAAGACAACCACAGGACTTGACATGTGGACATGTTTCATGTCAACACGAGGACCCTGAGCTGCACTTCCATCCTTGAGGCCCAGGGAGGGCCGTGGCTCTCCTGGGGCAGCGCCATCTCACCGGCAGTGCTGTTCAGCCCTTCCAAAAATGCCACCCCTCCAGGGACCACCGGTGTCTGGTGGGCAGGGCCATCCCTGCCCAGCCCTCACCTGTTGTTGTAGCCAGTCGTCACACCTGCCATGGGCACATTCGGGCAGTGCATGAAGAACATGAAGAAGGCAAGCAGGCTGATCAGGGTGCAGAGCAGGCAGAACCTGATGATCCCTGGGCCTCGAAGCTTAAACCTGTTCACCAGGAAGCCGCCCAAGAGGGTGCCGCCGCCGCCCGCCGGCACCACCAGGTACCCTGAGGGGAGGGGCTCAGTGAGCTTGAGGGTGACGCCACCTGGGTTTTACACCTCTAGTTTACAAGTGGGGAAACTGAGGCCCACAGGGACCAGTCCCTGTGCAGGGGGCAGCACTTAAGCTGCTGCTCAGGCAGAGCCACTGTGAGAGCCTCTGTCCAGGGCCTTCGGGGGGAGCCCCAGAGAGCTTGGATGCAGGGGAGAGCACAGGACCAGGGGAGTGCCTGGTAGCCAGGGCCTGCAGCGTCCCTGCAGCAGCTGTGATGCTCCCCAGCACACCAGCAGCCACCCACGTGAAGTGGAGATCGGAGGTGTGGCTCCCATGTTCCGAGGACACAGGGTCCCACACAGGAGGGAGCAAGGGCTTTCCAGGCTGGAGGAAGAGGAGGGAGGGGTCCCAGCACAGAGGGGCTGAGAGGAGAGGGTGGGGTTGGGACAGGTGAGGTCAGCCCAGGGAGTGGTGGGGAGGGTGCTGGGGAAATGCGGGTGCCCCAGGAACACCACCGCAGGGCATGTGGGTCAGCACTGACCAATACCCACGCACTGAGCCCAGGGTGAGCCCCCTACCAGGCACACATTCAGTGAGGGTGGCCACAGCATGGGGGCAGCAGGTGCTCGGTGAGGGGCCCCAGGCCAGACAGGGAGTCTGTGCCCCACCTGCCTGCACACCAGGCCCGCCCCGCTCATAACTAGGACAGCGGCCCACCCTGCCAGGGTGAAGCACCCCAGGATCCATGGTGTTCTCACCAAACAAGGAGGCAGCTTCCGAGGCACTGAGGCTGAACTGGGCCTCGAAGAACTTGGGGCCAAATGTGGACATGCCGGCGATGAGCGTGGCCTCTGTGGCCCCTGCCAGACAGAGCAGGATGAATGTGGGGTTCTTCAGCAGGAGCCAGATGGAGCTGCACCAGAAACAGGGAGAGGAAACAGGAGACGGGGTCAGAGGGCTAAAAGGACAGCAGAGTGGGGTACAGCGAGTGAGGTACCTCACATTTACTCTGGAGACACCAAAGGTTGCAGCAGGGAACCAACAGCCTCAGTCTGACCTCTAGACAACCTCTCCCGGAAGCCACCAAAACTGATCCTACTAGCTGTCAGCACCATGGCCAAAATCCTGGCTCCCAGGGCCCAGGACCTCGAGTGACCAGAGCCACGGCTCACTGCCTCCTGGGAGGGAGAGGGCAGCCGTGACAAGCGGTGGAGAGGCCTGAAGGAAGGCTAGAGGGGCCCTGCAGGACAGGACCAGGGTTACCAGGAGTGGGGCCAGTTCTGAACCCGCCCAGGGAGGGGCAAAAGTCAGGAGTCTAGGAGCTGGAACCAGGGGCCACTCAAGGAACCCTGAGTGGGCTTGGCTGGCTCCCCAGCTGTCCTTGGCTCACCCTTGGGGGCAACAGGGGTCAGATGCATCTGCTAATTCCAGGGAGAATCTGGCCTGGCCCCTACTCCTGAGACCCAGGGCACCCTGTGCCTCCTGGGCCCTGATGTACACAGGGTGCCTCTCTTCTCAGCAGTTTCTGGATGGGGCTGGGGAAGGCGTCGCACCCAGATTTGCTTCCCAGAGCCACACCAGGAAGCTGGGGTGCAGATAGATTCTGGCTGGTCAGCCCAAGATGTTGAGCACTGTGCTCTGGGCAGGGCCACCCACTCGGGGTGGGGTCAGTCACCCTCCCAGGGCTGGGTTTAAACAGTTGCCACGCTAACAGCAGAAAGCACCAGAGTCCCCCAGCAGGGTGAGGAGGCAGAGCTGAGGAAACACATCCTGCCTGGACCTGGGCATGTGAATGGCCAGAGGGGCCTCTCTGTCTTCAGGGCCGGCTCTTTCCCTGGCACAGGTAACTGCAGGTGGGCTCAGTCACTTCCCTGTGCCCCGAAGTCCTGGGTCACAGAAGGCAGAGTCTTCCCGGGGCCATACACGGCACACTGTGCTCCCTGCCTTTCATCGATGGTAAGGCCACTTCCGAAATCTCTGCGGAACGCGCCTCCTCTGGGGGCTCTGGAACCATTTTGCTTACAAAGCTAGAGCTGCTGTCTTAAAGGCTCTCCTGCAGGCCTGCTCAATGAGTGTGTGTGCGTGTGAGTGTGTGTGTGTGTGTACGTGTGAGAGAGGTGAGCTAGGGATTGAACCCAAGGCCTTCACACTGCACCTGTGGGACAGCTCTGCACACCCTGACACTCCCGAAACAGCCTCGGGGCCCGAGGGCCACCGCTGCACTGGGGCAGCAGCACTGGGGGAGGCGCAGTCCCTGCTCAGACCTGCCCTGGAGCAGTGTTCATCCAGAGGCTCCTTTGTGCCCTATGCTGATTCCAGCAGAAGCACCCAAGCCCTTCAGAGTTTATGTTCTGGTTTCAGGGGTAGAAAGCCGGTCTCTCCAGCCAACTACAGGGTTCCTGGAGTCAGCAGAGGAAAGAGGGTCCAGAGAGGAGACCCGTCCTGCAGCAGGCGCTGGCGGGCCAGGTGGGTGATGCCCAGTGGCCCCTGCCAGGGTCCCTGCCCTGCCTACCTGACAATGCAGGGACTTCCTGGTTTCTCAGCCAGCATGCTTGTGCTGACATCACTGGAGAACTAAGCCAGGTTTGAGCGCAGGACACACGTCCCAGAACTCATCTGTACCAACTGGGGAACCAAACATGGGTTCAGCTTCCTGTTTCCGGCACAGAACCAGAGGCCCAGGCTCCACATCCACGCAGGGCTGAGGTCTGCCCTGCATGGAGTGAGCTGGCGGTGGTCCCCTGTTAATGAGCAGCTGACACTCTGCACCCTCTCGACCACACCCCAGGGTCCCCTTCACCTCCCCCAGGTGATGGTGGAAGCATAAAGCCCTGAGTGAGACCTCAGGGGCAGCCCTGTTCCTCCTCAGCTTGGGGGCTCTCTGAGGAGCCACCCTTGGCCTCACCATCCTCCTGTTCTGAGGACAGGCCACGGGGACGCAGCCCTAGCACCGCCGGCCCCCTGCCTGCACAGGCTCACTGTGAAGGTAGATGCCACCATTCACAAGCCCAGGGGCATGAAATAAAACACTGCCGTGCCCCAGAGGCTGAGGACTCGAGGTGGCCCCCAGCTCTGTGGGCAGTCCCATGGTAAGCACAGTCTTGGGAAGACAGCATCCCGGGTCCCAGGGCCCCTAGGCTCCAAGCCATCTCTCTAGGACCCAAGTGACTGAGATCACGTCCTCTGTGCATGAAGACAACAAAGCTGGGCCAGGCACTGGATCCTTAGAGGGTGAGGACACAGTGAGAACCATAACCCAGGAAACCACCCTGGGAGGACGGAGACCGGACTGTGAGGAGGGATGAGGAGGGGCAGCAGGGTACCAGCCAGAGCCCCAAGGGCAAACCCACAGCTGATGCTCAGTGGAAGGTGACAGGTACGGGAGGCCCCCAGGACCAGGCAGGAGCCCTGGGGTACACGGCCAGGGTCAGGAAGCCTGCTGCAGTGGGTTGGATTTAAGCCAGGGCCATGAGGCACCACGGGCTGGGTGGGTGTGGCTAAGGCCTTGCCCTGGTCCTGCAACCACAGGGGCTCTTGCTTCCCTGGCTCTGTACCCTCTGCCCAGAGGCTGTGCTGCTCACATTTCAGGGTTGGTGGGTCAGGAATCTGGCTTAGGAGCTATGAGGGGCTGGGCTGACCTCCACATGTGCCCATGTCTCCCGCCCGGGACTTACAGGGGCAGGTCTCTGATGGTCTCCCCGAAGGCCGGGCTGCTGTCTGTCTTGGGGTCCTGTTCTTTCAGTTGCTGTGTCTCTGCCGCTCTCATGATGACATAGTGCTGGGAGCCTGGAGGGACAGTCAGTCAGCAGGGGCCTGTGTCTCCTGCAGAGGGCAGTGATGTACAGGGCCCCTCCTGGGTGGGGAGTGCCCCCCTGTGTGCTGCAGCCACTGCAGTCCTGGTGCCAAGGACACGTGCAGGCCGAGGTGGAGCCAGACAGCAACAAGGGGCTCGGGGGGCAAGGAGGAGGGCCCCTTCCTGCTGCCTGCTGGAGGGGTAGAGGGAGGCCTTGGGACTGGATGGCGCCCACTGCAGCCCAGGCCTGCCCTGACCATCACTTGGCATCTTGGGGAGGCTCAGACTCTGGCCTTGTTCCTAGTCAGTTGAAGTGAGGGAGGAAGGAGGGGACAGCTGGGCCGGGGCAGGAAAACTCACCTGGCAGCTGCCGAGGGTAGCCAAGGATGGGGACAGCGGTGAGCAAGGCTGCCACCCCAGCACCCAGGAGGCCGATCCACCAGGCACCCACCCACAGCGGGCTTTCAGGGGTCAAGTGTGTCCTGCAGGAAGAGGCAGTGACAAGGGGGTCGTCAATTGGCCCTCTGTCCTGGGAGCACACACACGACATGCATGGGCATGCGCGGACACACGAACAAGCACACACACACACAGTGACTGCCTGGCTCCTCCTCTGACCAAACCTCCAGCCTCCTGTGCGCACACCGTGAAACAGGACACCCCAGGACGGCAGGCTCCAACCGCCCTGCTCTCTGGAAGGTACTCAGACTGAGCTCTCCACAGGTCAGGGCTGGGAGCAGCAGGCTCTCCAGGCAACAGCAGCCACACAGAGGGGGACAGAGCGGGACAGAGGGGGACCTAGGAGCTAGGGACAGAGGCTCAGCTGGAGTTCACTGGGCTCCCCGCTGAGGGATCGTTACACGTGTGCTGGCAGTCTGCACATAAGCGCACTTCAGATCACAGGGGGAAAAGGAAAGAAGCCTCGGGAAGGCAGCAGCCAGCGGATCTCCGGGCTTCCAGGGCTGCACCATCCCGGGAGGGGCAGCCAAGAGGAACAGGAGGGACGCGGTGACCCGGGACAGCAGCCAGGCGGTGGCGGTGCTGTTCTGTTCTAGCACAGAAATGGGCCACTGCCACGGCCTGAAGGACCAGAACACTCTCTTCTCCCCACCCCCACCCTGATCTGAGCCAAGTGGACCCAGACCCAGATCCCGGGGCGGGGGCACAGGCAGCCAGAAAAGCCTCCCGATCGGATCCAGGGGCTCGAGCCCCCACCTACCTCCAGCCTCTGCACAGAATGAGCGCACTCGACCCCACGTTATCAACCTAGGGCCAGAAGTGGCTTTTCTGAGAAGGCAGAGCGCTAGAAAGCTCAGCGGGGCACCATCTGCAGAGAGAGTCCCAAGGTGGAGCGGTTGCCAGGAGGGCAGGACAGAGCCGACCTCTGTGTGGCAGCGACCAGAGCCTCCCCTTCCTCCCACCCCAGCTCCCTCTGTCCTCCTCGCCCTCTCTCCTGCTTAAATTTACAAAAATCTGGTATCAGAAACAAAAGACACCAGGAAATGAATGACACAAAAGGATCTCTTGCTGGCCGCAGGAAGAGCCACAAAGTCAGGAGCACTAGAGAAGCCGTGGCCAGAGCTTCTGAGGCGCCCGGGCCTGGGTGCCCTCTGCCCTTCCCTTCCCCAGGTCCCGAGAGCCAAGGCCAGTCCTGCATTCTTCCTGCTCAGCCGGGCCAAGAACCTGCTCCTGCGCCAAGGTCTCTGCTGTCTGAAACACTTCCAGGGGTCCACGGGACCCTCAGGTCTGAGACAGGAAGGATGATGCCCAGGTCACTCACCGCCGGCCCACTTCCACGTACACATTCAGCATGGCACCTCCAATCAGGTACCCAGCGGCAGGGCCCAGGATGGCCGCGGTGTAAAAGATGGCTGGAAGACAAGCAGTGGAGCTGTGTCACCATGAGCCACGCTGGTGGTCGGCCTGTGCCTGCCCACTCCCCACTGAGGCCCCTGGCTTGGCATCTGTCATTACAGTCTAGGCCAGGTCTGCCATCCAGCTGGCACTGACTTCCAAACTTTCTGCAAAGTGGATGTCGAAGTCATCAGAGCTGGTGAGAACCAAGGTCCCCACAGCCCAGCGTACGAGACAGTATCTGCAGCTCCACAGCCTCACGCTGGGAGCAATGGGATGAGAGTGGGGAGGGGGGTCAGGGAGGCCTGCACCTCTGCCACTTCCCTACAGCACCCCTCAAGTAGGGTTTAGAAGGATGGGCCAGGAGCTGTGTCTCCTTGCTGGAGGACGTGACCCCTTGGTCCCTAGCATGAATGGTCCCTAGGTGAGTGGGAGGCCGCGGCTGGGGCTGTGTCCCTGGGCTGACCACCGCTGCAGCTGTGCCAGGCAGGAAGCACAAGGAAAAGAAGGCACAGCCGGCCAAGCAGAAGGGTAAGGCCACCAGAGGGCAGAACAGGTCCTACAAGGCCTATGGGGGGTCCCCACTGTCCCAACAGCAGGGGCTGGAGCTGAGAGCTGGGAGGTGGGGGTGGGCACTGGGGCAGGGCAGTGCCTGCCACGCAGTTATTGTGTGCGGCCTTAGATGACAATGAAGAACTCAAGCAGCTTTGTATTTTTGCCTTGAAGTCTTGACTCTTTTCTGAGTTCCCGCTCTTTGCCACCTGTGTGGCCAGATGCAGAGCAGGTGGGGGCTCATGGGGAGACATGGCACGGCTAAGGGGCTCCAACCCCCTCCCACCCACAAGCGGCTCACTGGGCCTCGTCTGTGTCCCTGCAACCCCTGAGGTGGGCCACAGGCTCCCAGCGCGGAGGCCTGGAGCCCCGGAGGCCTCCTGAGAAAGGTGGCATCACTTCCGCCTCCTTCGTGCTTGGTTGGGCCATGCGCACAGGGACACACAGAGGGGCTGGGATGCAGCTCCCGCAGGCACCAATCGGGGCTGGCTGCTGTCACTCTGACTGCCGCCCTCCAGCCTCTTGCTCCTTCTGGCTCTTCCACTCACCGATGTAGACAGGCGAGTAGCTGGACTTGACATTCTCGTCCAGGTAGGTGACACCCAGGGTGTAGAGGGGTGTGGCGCCCACGCCGTGCAGGAACTGGCCCAGCATGAAGACCAGCCAGTAGTGGGACAGGCCCGAGATGCTGTCTGCACACACTGTGCTCCGGTTGGCCGGGCACGTCCTCACCCCCTCGTCCATCTCCACCTCGTAGCGGCCGGAGATGAAATGGGGCAGCGCGAACACCAGCGACCCAGCGCCCAGGATCAGCATGCCCCAGCCCAGCCAGCGCGGCTTGTGTCCGCTGCCCCCGTAGTAGCTGACGAAGGCAAGGCAGAAGCAGGCGGCGATGTCGTAGGAGCTGGCGATGAGCCCGCTCTGGTAGCTGTGCAGGTCGTACCTCCGCTCGATGGAGGTGATGACCGTGTTGATGAAGCCGTTGACCGTCATGCCCTGCAGGAAGGAGGCTGTGCACAGGAAGAGCAGGAAGCCCTTGGGGGTGTTGAAGACCTGCAGGCACTCGGGCGCGAAGCCCCGCCAGCCACACGCGGTGTCCTGGGGCTCCGCTGAAACATACTGCACCTCCAGAGCCGCCTGGCGGTTGTGCTTCTCGGCCTGGGGCTGGCACAGGGGCCGGCTGCAGGAGTCCAGGGAGCCATGGGCCACGCGGCGCTCAGAGTCCGGGGAGGCCCTGCTGCCCACAGGGCTGTGGTCCAACCCGTTTTCAACGACCGGGGGCGCACTGCTGAAGAGGAGCTGGGGCATCGGGGTGAAGCGCTGGTCTTCCACCATGTGCCAAGGCACCTCCAGGCCCGTTGGGGGGCCTGTGGCAGCAGGACGAGAGCAGGACTGCCAGCAGCCTAGGCCAGGAGGAATTCTGCCTTCCGTTCATCCTGAAAGGAGACGCGCTGGTTAGTGACCCTGTCCCTGCCCAAACACAGCGCTGTGTGCAAAGAAAGACACCGCGTACCCATCTCGTCTCCAGGCACTGGCATCCTGACAGCGCCCTCCCCAAAGTCAAAGTGGCCTCTCACCAGACCCACCCCCAAGCGTCTCGCCATGGGACACAGTGCTGCCGCAGTGGCCCGGCCCAGCCTGGTAACAAGGACTCCACCCCACACTTCTGTCGGAACATGAGAAGGGAGACTTCGTGGGCGGCAGAGCCTCAGGAACTGCAGGGAGGCCAGAGCCCACCTGCTGGGGTCACACAGCAAAGGACCGGGGAGTCCAGCCCACAGGGCCCCCGCCGCCCCTGTGTGCCTTCCCCAGAGGCCTCTGCTCTGCCCGCCTGAGCCACCGCCTGCCTGTCAAACCTGATTCTTCCTTAAATCCAACTTAGCGAGCAAACCTCTTTAATTTGCTCCAGGGTTGGGAGGCTGTAGAGGATGAGGAAGGGGAAATCTCGCCCTGGAGATGGACCCCACACCAGCTGCCTCATTCTGCAAACGCTGCAGCTGCTCCACAGTGATCTTTCCAGGTGCTGAGCTAAGCTGCACTCTGCCCCTCCAGCAGTGACCAGGAAGACACAGACGCCCGTCCCTAGCCTTCATCCCCGTGTCCCCACTGCCAAAGGAGCCCGGCCCTTGCTGAACAATTGCTGCATATCTAGCCCCGGGCAGGATTTCTGAAACACCCACATTATTTTTAGAAAGGATGGCATTTAGCCAGGTGTGGTAGCACACACCTGTAAGTCAGCACTCTAGGAGGCTGAGGCAGGAGACTGCAGGTTCGAGCCTAGCCTGGACCAGCTAGCAACTTAGGGAGGACACTGTTTCAAAATAAAAAATTAAGGGCTGGGGAATGTAGCTCAGTGTAAAGGTCCTGGGTTCGATTTCTAGCACTGTACTGCAAAAATAAATAAATAGAAAGAAAGGGAGGGGCCCGTTGCAGGACACACAGATCCTCCCTATGCCTGAGGCCTCCTGGACCCCGGCAGCTACCATCCCGGACCTTACCAGGCTGTCACCGGAAGTCAGCCCATCGGGAGGCCCACAGCAGAGGTACCTGTGGCAGTGCCTCCGGTGGAGCCTGGTACTCCTCCCATCCTGCTCCCTAGGGCTGAACTGCGTCCTTGTAAGAGATGTGCACAAACCCTGCCCCAGGACCTCAGAAGTGTGGGGATGGGACCTCCAAAGGCGATTAGAAGAGGCTGCTGGAAGGGCCTAATCCTCTAAGTCCCGCTGGAAGGGTGACCGGGACTCAGGCATGCTGGGAAGGAGAACAGCAGGGAAGGGCAGCCCCTTCCCTCCTCCTCCACAGCAAGGAGCTGACACTGGACACCTCCGACGGGGAATCTCGGCCTCCAGGACTGGCAGATGACGCATTCTTGTCACTCACAGCCATCCCGGGAGCCCCAAAAGGTGATCAAAAGAGGTCACCTGAGCCTGACTCCAGGAAGCAACAGGGCTGGGGAAAGACCCAGAGAGTACCGTGGCTGGACACCGCAGACACAAACAGGCTGTGAGCTGGGCGTGGTACCGCAGCACACTTACAATGCCAGCACTCTGGGAGGCTGAGGCAGGAGGGCTACAAGTTGCAGCCCAGCCTGGGCAACTTAGCTACTTACAGAGATCCTGTCTCAAGATAAAAGATGATTTTAAAAGGGCTGGGGACAGCTCTGCACAAACACCCTGGGACTTGCTGCGAGCATGCCTGCACTCGGGGACAGCAAACTGCTAGTTTCGTTTGTTTTTAAAATGAGGTGGTCTCTCTGCATGCACTCCGTGGCTAGTGGGTGCATTTAATGCCAACTGCAGACAGGGACAGGCGGGAGCAGGTCAGAAGTGGGGCTCCCAAAACACAGCAGCCTCAGACATCAGGGAGACTGGCAGGAAGGGGCAAGGTCGCCCAAAACTCTAAGCGCAGAGGCCAGCGTGCTGTACCTGAACCCATGGCTCTGACAGAAGTCCAAAGAGCTCGGCCTAAAATCAGACTTATCACCTATGTTTAAGTTGGCAATATAAAACACTATTCCAAGTATCAGCCCTTACCCCAGCCCTGCAAGACGATGGGGATCAGCTGCACCCGCAGGTCAGTTCTGACGGTACTGAGGCTGCAGGCCATGTGGGCTGTGGGGCACATGTCCACACCGGCACTGGCTGTCCTCACTGCCCTTCTCCTCCCAAGCTGAAGCAAGTGCACAAGCAAAACTCCAGCCTGGCAGCGCCATGGGGCACCTGGTCTCTTCTTCCCCCAGCCCAGGCAAGGCAGGACTCTGCCAGCAGCTGGCCCCGTTTTCCTCGTCTTCCCAGAAACTCTCCAAGTGGGTATCAAGGTCTCTGTGGTTGTGATCTGATGCTAACATCTACCCCTGCCTGAAGGGACCCCCTGTGGGCACCTGCATCGGCAGGGACCTCGCTGGCCATGCAGCAAAGAGCTGGAGGTTCACCTCTAGGGTTCACTGTGAAACCAGCTGGGCTCGGGGAATGAAGGCGGCAGCACAGCCCGGACTCCGCCTTCAGACTCTCAGTCTCAGCTCTGGAGAGGAGCCCACGGACACCCTGGCCTGGATGCCAGGCTCCATCCAACCCCACGAGACATCTCCCACCCCCAAGGAGCATCCTGCATGCTGACGCCATGTGTGATGGCCAGAACCACAGCTACCCTGAGGACAGACTGCCTGTGTCACCACACCTGAGTCGCAGGTGCTGGACATTTGAGATCCTGTTGGGGGCATGTGTGCGAGGGGCTTTCCAAAACCACATGAAACCTCACAGTAGTGGCCCCCCTGGTGTGGGCAGGCCTCAGCCGCTCCGAGGCCTGGCCAGCACAGAGAGGGAGGCGGAGGGAACTCACTGCCCAGCCGCTGAGCCAGCCCTGCAGCTCTGCTGCCTTTGGACTCCTTGAGCCACTGTCTGGGCTCCGGGGAGGATGTGCACACACGATGTGCATACCCGTGCCTGCTGTTTTACAAGGCCACAGGTGACCAGAGCTCCTTTCCTGCATCTGGAGGGCAGCAAGCACTGGCTTTGCTGTCTGCCCAGAGCACCTGGCCAACGACTTCTGGGAAGAACCCAGCCACCCCTGTCTCCTCCTGCTCCTACTGCTCCTCCTCTTCCTCCTCCAGAGCCCAAAAATTACCCAGGGAGAAGTCAGAGCGGACCACAGTGTTCTTTGAAAGCTGGGGCCCCGGTTTACACATCTGCGTGTTCTTCCTGCTTGCTCCTTTCCTCACCCACCATCACTCGCTCGGTTCCCAGTGGGGGCTGTCCACGAGGCATGCGGGCTTTCAAAGAGCAAAGCGTAGCCTGGGTTAGGGTTAGGGTCAGGGTCTCTGCAGGATTCGGAAGCTGCTCCAAGAGGCTCTCAGGCCCAGCTCCTGGATCCTACTTGGACCTCGGCAGCAGGGAAGACTGGCAGGTCTCATTTCTCCTCTCTTTAAACTCAAGCCAGGAGAGGGAGGAGGCAAAGCCCTGCGCTTCCCTCCCTGCTCTGAGGCCACCAGCCACAGCCACGACTTGCAGCCGGTCCCCCTTGGGGTTCTCCACAGTCCCACCACCAGAAGAGCCAGATTCTCCCTTTCCCTCCGCCTCATTCTGTTGGGTGAATGCAGAGCGCATTCACATCTTACAGAGCAGACACTGGTGGCAAGACTGAGGTGGCCGCCATGGCCCCAGCACAGCCAGTTTGCATATCCAGTGACCACACATTCGAGGCCCAGGCAGCTGGCTGCTTTGCATGGAGACCTACACGGAAGGATCTGAAGAGATCCTGGACACAGGGTCCCTCATGGAGCATCTGTGGACTCCACCTGCGGGCGGAATCTTGGGGAGTGTGGGTGTGGAGGCAGGGTGTGCTCAGGGAGGATCTGCATTTCCTTCCCCTCAACTCATCAAATTCTCTCTGGGGGGTGGGAAGCCCTCCCCATCCCAGCCAAGTGCTCGCAACCTTATGTGGTCACAGGCCTCTCTGAGCCTCAGTTTCCCCCATTGCAATGTGGCACGTGCCATGAGGTGAAGGATCCAGCCTTCGACACAAATGGGTCTGGGGGCCACTGGGGCTTATGAGAAACTCGAACCTGCAGAGCCCACATCAGCCCCCGATCCCTCTGCTTCGAGTATCTGAGCTCCCTACGGCTACCGCACCTGCCTCTCAGCTCAGCTGATAGCTGGGACCAAGGTGACACACTGCACCCTTGGTCCTGTGACCCTGGCTGTTGGTGACCCAGGGCTTCTCGCAGTGGGGGGAAGCCTATAACAGCACCCGCAGTGCTCACTGCCTCAGTACCCTGCAGCTACGCAGATAAATATGCCACCAAGTAAAGGCACAGCCTGGCTGGGTGAGAGGGCCTGGCCAGTTCGATGACCTAGTGAAATGCTATCTCAGAGTAAAAAGAGCCAGAGAAGTAGCTCAGTATAAGAAAGCTTAGAAAAGCCTCTGCCCTCTAAAAATGTGGCCCAAGATTCTAATTCTGTGAATGATGGCAGGAAAGAAGTGCTGTGCTGCAGCTACCCAGGGGAAGCGAGGGGTGCTGGGGAGGCTGAGGTCCCAGCATCGGAGGACAGTAGACTACAGACCAAGCAAGGACAGCACAGGGGAAGCCACCATGCTGTGCTGCCCTGGCCCCTCCCTCTGTAGGTCCAGCAGGTAGGCAGCAAGGTCCATCTCCTCCTCATCTGCTGGGCAGGGCCTCAAGGTTCTGCCAAGTCACACAGAACTCTGGTGACCTTGCCCCTGAGCAGCCAGTGCTCCCTCCCTGCCTGAGGCGTGGTCCCCAGCTGCCAGGAACAGGGCTTTGCTCCCATTGTTGGCTCTCATGCTCACCAAACCCCGCCAAGACCAGAGTTTCAGAGCCCAGCAGTGCCCAAGCCCAAATGACCGACTATCACAACCTCCCTTCCAAAAGCCATCGTGAGCTCACTCGTACTCTGGAGAACAAGGAGGCCAAGTGGCTTCAGAGAGAGTATTGTTGTGGTTTCTGTCCACACTGCACTGGGTGCAGCCACAGAGGAAGCAGGTTTGCTCAGCATAGCTTCTGTGCCCCTTCTGTCCACCAGCACCAGGCTCCACACAGGCCCCTCTGGGGCTCATCTCTTCCTACTAGTGGTCAACCCCTGGGAAGAGCTCAGAGATTCACTTCATTCAGGTGTTTGAGTCCATAAAACCATGAAATCACACAGACTTACAGGACCAACCTGGGACTTACAGATCAGGGACCATGCAGGTACATGCTACGCTCTGCACAGCCTCTGTGCCACTAGTGAGCCAGACCTAGAACCCAAAGGGCAGCCCTGGCAATCAAGTCAGGAGTCCACAGGGGCTCCGATGGTTGCTCTGCTGCTCACCCCCTTCTCTGTTCACACCGAAACAGTCCTACTTGCCCTGCCCCTCTGGTGGCAGGGAGGGATCTGGCTTGGACTTGCCCAGTACCTGCTTCTGGAACCACTCCCAGTAAGCCACCCTAAAGGCGGCAACCCATAAAGACCTTTCCAGGCGGTACCTGCTGGCCTCGCCATGTGGGGGAAGCAGGACAAGTCCTGCCACAGGGTAGTCAGGACAAGCTGGCTCCTGGGTGGCACCTGGCTGCAGCCTTGTCCCTGTCTGCAACACAGGGAAACCGGGCTGTGCCACCCACTTCCTGGGGAGCCACTCTTCCTCTGGCGGTCACTGACGGTCCTGGCCAAAGTCCCTTTCCTTTCACTGAGGGGTTGCCCAGGGACACAGCTTAGGGTCTCCCCTCCCTTCTTGAGAAGAGTGGGAGAAGGGCTGAGTCTAGCTGGGGTCTGGCCAGCAGGACTCCAGCTGTGCTATCGGGAAACCCCTGACCCCCAGGCCTCCCTCCTGGTCCTCTGTGTGAAAAGCTGTCCCCCCACCCCCAGCTCCTGGGAGGAGAACCTGAGCTGGTGCCCAAAGCAGCAGGCACAGAACTGGCACCCTCACGTGCGGGGGGGGGGGGAGCTCCTGCTGCCCTTGCTATGCGTATTAAGGAGCATGAGCAGGCTAAAACGGCAGGTGCTCTCTCCTGGGAAGTCCACGTACTTCCCGGCTGCCCGGAGGAGGAAACCTCAGAGCGGAGCAGAGATGGACCGCGGGTTTCCACTACTGTGGAAAACTACGGAGCTTCCAAGGTCGCCGGGCGGAAACGTGCTGCGTGCCTGCTCTGACACCT